GGTAGCATACTAGATTCACTGGTATTTACCTGACTTCTTCCAAAACAATTCCATAAACATAAAGCCACTTCACTCTCTTTAATAGGTGAATGACATTCTAATGTATGCAGATATTGCAATTTCTGTAGTTTCCTATTAAGAGATATTTAGGCTTATTCCTTTTTTTTTTTTTTTTGGCTTTTGCAAATAACGCTGCAATTAATATTCTCCTGACAGTGCCTTTTCACATAGGATGCACTCTAACCTGAAAATTCCATAATTCCCTCTCCAGCTAGCTCAGTGATGTGCATTTGTAATTCTGTATACTGATTTCCTTTTAAAACAACAGATGCTCGCAGAGGTGATGAGGATGTTTTTGGTGCACTTGAAATTCCATGTTAAAACAAAACAAAAAAAAAAACTTTTACACTTCTGAGTGAGGTGAGCTGCTGGGAAACATATGGCCCTTGTCAAAATAGCCAAGCAACACCTCAGGAACATTTTTAAAAATTCAACACTAAGTGTTCATCGTTCTCAAAATTCCTATGTTGACCCAATGTAGTAAATGAGGGCAGCCACGCTGTCTGTTTCAGGTAGAAAACCAAGCGCATGACTGTATGACACAGCAGATTGAAAACCTTGCTGTTCTGCTCTCTGGTGGCCTCCGACAAATGCTAGGGGGAAAGAGAGTCGTGCTGCTAATATGGAATCTTGTGGTAACTCATCAAAAGGAAGCAGTTCTGGGATTGGCCAAGAGCACATATCTCGTGTCCCCTGGTTTCCTTTCCCTGTGAACTCAGCGTTAAAAAGCAGCTCTAAGCCGTGGCTGAAGGACATGGGCAAGAATATGTTGTATCCCTCCGTGTCTGTCTTACGCAAGTCATGGGCTTAGGAAATGGTTGTGTAGGGTCCTGCTCTTCAGAAAACTTGACATTTCCTAGATGGTTGGAATTAACCAAGACTCCTCTGGAAGACATAAAAGACACTGAATGAAAAATCACAGTAGTCATCTGGCTCCGGGCGTGAAGCTCGGCAACTGAAGAAAGTCCAGTGCTGGCCAAAGAGCTGGCGATGAAGCCCACAGAAGGGGCACTTGACTTTGTCTCAACTAAGGTAAGTGTTTTGGGAGAAATGGCCGAGGCAGGGGAAATAGTTCTCTCTCGTCCTTAAGTGTGTCCTCTGGGTACACACATTTTCAATGAGGAAACACACAAGGACAGCGCTATGAGAGCTCTGGGTAGAATAGAAGCCGTTGCCACGGGGGTGTGCCACTTTTGAATCTGAGGGTGACTTATGTGTCATCACTTTTGAGGTGTCCGGAGGTCTTCGAGAGGGTGGGTGGCCATTGGAAGGTGCCGGCTGAGGCAGCCAGGTGGGATGGGATGGCCGTCCGAAACTCTGGTCTTTTGAGGTTCAAATGTGAATGTAGGTGCGGAGCAGTCTACCTGGGAGCTATAGATTAAAAAGAAGTGCTGCTCTGGCAATCATTCTCCCCCCACCCCCAACCCCCTCACCCCCCTCCCCTGCCCCCAGCCCCTAATCTGTTCTTTCCAAAGCATTTGCTTTGAACTAGCGAGGCTGTCCCAGGGCTCTGCCTACTATGAAGCCACAACCACTCAAATTCTTTAATTATGTGCAATTCAGAGTCACACTTCAAGGTCCAGCCTTGATTTTATAACTAAAATACAGATCGGCTGTCTCTCCAGAACTGGTCACAGCCAACGTGCCGTATTTGCCCAATGCCTATTTTGAAGTTTTCTTGTCAGACATTCAGCCTTTGTTCCTCAGTTTCACCACCTGCAAAATGCAAAGTGGGAGCAGATGAAAATGATCTCAAAGTTTTCTCTCATCAGTCGTTCGTTCTCTAAACTCCTTGGAATTTCTTTCCTATTTATTCTCTTTTCCTTTTAAGTAAATATAACTTGGAGTCAAGAAAAGATGCTTTCCCTACTGCTTGTTTGTCTCAGAGTCGTAGAAGCATTTTATTTTTGTGAGATTTTCTTTCAATTCTGGTTTACTTAAGATGAACAACCACACTTGGTTATTATTATAATAGTGAGCATTTAAAGTTTTCATACCCTCTCAATAACATAAAAGTCTCATTTACCCAACTCTTTGTCTTTTCTAGATAATACTATCAAACATTTCCACATGAATATCCCACTGTTACCACAAAAACATGCCTAAAACCAAACTATTCGAAACATTTGTTCAAAAAAGTAGTTCCTCTAGCCCTAAACTTCCCCTTTTTTTCCAGTCAGCATTACTATAGGTTTCATATTCACACTTGCGAAGTTATTTTGGACTTTTCCCCTTTCTTAAGTCCATCTTCGTCAAGTGTATGCAATCACTCGGTGCTTTTCAGGTCATTATGTCTCACTAAACTGTCCCCTCCTCTCCTCCCTTGCTATTTACTTCAATAGTTCACGCCTGTTCTGCCATATTGGACGTCAGACTCATTTCCCTGTTACAGTCCTTCCCCTTGCAAAACCATCCAGTAACCATCACAATATTTATTTTCCTAAAGTAGGATGTTCTCCATGTCACCCTGCATTCAAAACCCTTCACAATTCCCCCCTGTATGCCTGCCACGCTGAGCTCACTCTCCCGTTCTCTCTCAGTCTCTCTGTCTCTGTCTGTCTCTCTCTCCCCATTTGCAGGTCTCTCTGTGATTTGGTCCTACTTGTCCCTGATCCCTATTTTCCACATTTTCCTGGCACTCCGTCTTTATTTACGCTGTTCCATTGATATGACCTTCCCCATCTTCTCTGTCAAAATACTACTCCTCTTCATTATCCAGCTTCATTTTTTTGTTCTTTTTGAAGCCCACAGTCATCTGTGCCGTCTTCCCCACCACTTCAACTTAAGGCAACTCTTCTGTCCTCTGAAATTTCATTGCCTTTATTACCCACGGCACATATTTAACTCTCCTCAGTTCTCTTGTCTTCTTAGTTTTCTTTGAACTTTTGTATGTTTTTCTCTCCCCAACTACACAGTAGGGTAACTAAGGGCAGTTATGGGACTGTGTTCACATAATGGGTCCTGATGCTAGAGCAAGACGATGTTCTCATCCTTGCACTGTTACTTACTGGCTGTAATCTTGGTCTGCATTTTCTCATCTGTGAAATGGAAATAGTGATAGTTATTCAATCCTTCGCAGGGGTTTTGTGGGCATTAGGTGAAAGAGCACATGCCGAGTGCTTGGAATGGTAAGCATTCACAAAATGTTGGCAATTACAATAATTATCCATGTCTCCTAGCTCCAAAGTACCTAATCTAGTGGCTTGCTCTGTAACCACACTTAATCAATACCGAATGGAATTCGTTTGAGTCAACGAGGGAACTAAGGTAGACTGTGTGGGTGATCTAGTGTGGACTAGGGGAACTCCTGGCATCACTAAAATCATGCCACAGATGCTGTCACTTATTGTCACCCAGCCAGACTCTTTTTAGGTTAATGCCACTCCCTACTACTGCTCAAGAGACTTTCTGAGGGTTTGGCTCACTGAACAAGGGATGATTTCCCAGAGCATCCCTCCCTTCCTGCCAATCGAAACTGACCTGGCTGCAGAGAGCAGGTTGCCAGACATACTAAAGGTCTTAAAGGTGATACGGGAAGAGTGGGCCAGAGAGCTCTCATGGCCCCCAAGGAAACCTACCAGGCTGCTAGTTCACTTAACAGGGCCCAAGACTGGCCTGCTGAAGTGGAAAGCAGGCTCAGCGAATGCACCCCTTCGTCTTGCAGCGTGAGAATGCCCATGGGCACCAGCCATAGGACGCTCACAGTTGGGACCCCCTCATCAATAGCAAAAGGGCTGCAAATACTGGCCAAAGAAGTGGAGACATCTGTGCTGCTCAACTGAGCCATAAAGGCAGACTTTTTTGTTGTTGTTTTTTTTAGACAGCTGGAAACTATAAAGCTTTAGCCCCAGTAAGTGTTATGTATCTCACTACCATTAAGTAGCCCATGCAAATTCAACAGATCCAGGCTTGACCCATATATGCGCTATTGAAAACAATTCAGAGGTAAGAAATAATTGTATTAAAGGTGAAAAGTGCCATCGAAGGCATGAACTCTGGTGTAGTGAGACAAGTATTTTGGATGCACACAGACCTCTATTCTTCATATTCGAACTGTGTCATTTCAGCAAATTTTTCTAACCTCAATTTGCTGAGGGATAAAGGGGATTATAACACCCAGCTCACATGGCTGTGGTGACACATAAATGAGATAATGCATTTGAAACAGGCTACCTAGTCTGTGGCACATGCTAGGGGCACAAGCCACCTAAATTCCTTTCCCTTTCACTCCAGGAGCAGATGCATCCTGGCCAAGGCTAGGAGTGAGGCACCCGGTGAGAAGTCCACAGGCAGGTGAATACGATTATTCCAGCATTACTGAGATGTGGTACCAGGTGTTGGACAATTGACAGAAGGAAGAAAAAAAAGGGCTCTCCTCTCTCGGTGCTTTTCACACTTGCAACTCAGTGCAGAGGGCTGTCTCCTCCCAACCTCTAGAAAGAGATCTGGATTTATCCTGGGCTTAACCTCGATTTTGACATGTTGCCATTTCCAATAAGGCCAGTTTCCTTACCGAAAGAAGTCCTTCCCCCGGGTGAAATCCCAACAGCCTCATTCGTGTAAGTTGCCTTATTGGTCTTCTAATGCGGGTGTGGTTTTTTCCTCACTACAGAATGTGGATAACAAGCAAACAGGCGCGGGAAACTCGCCCTAAGTAGGCACCTTCTCGGTTCCCTAGACTGGCGGGGGAATGGTCCGCCGTTCTTGCCGGGAGGACGAGGTGTTGCCGAGCGGAGAGGCGCCCTCCTGGACGGGGCTTGGGGGAGCCGGGACCGGAGGCCGGGGACCCCCCGCCCCGAGCCGGGCCGGGGAAGGGGTGCGAGGGGAGGAGGCGCGGGAGCCGCGGTGGAGCCCGACAGGTTCCAGCGGCTCCCCTCACCCCTCTCCACGCCTCCCGGGTTTTCCCCTTGGCTCGGGGTTTCCTGTTTCAGTTCTCGGTGATCTCCAGCAGCAGGTGCTGGTTTGCCAACCTCGGCTCCAGAGGAGGCGAAGGAGGAGAAGGGAAAGAGGGAAGGGGAGGAGGAAGCGGCGCAGCGGCTGCGGCTGCGGCTGCGGGCGGGCGGGCGGCCGAGGAGCGAGGCGGCAGGCGGGAGAGCCGGGTTCGCTGTCGCCCGCGGACCAGCGGCGCGGGCGGCGGGCGAGCCGAGGCCGCGGCGGGCGGGCGGGCAGGCATGGGGGAGCCTCCCGCTCGCCCCGCGCCCTAGCGGCGGCCGCGGCGGCCCAGGGCGGAGGCGAGAGGCGGCCGCCCGCCGCAGGGCCCCGGGGCCGCCCCGGCTTCCAGGGCATGTTGTGATGGCCGCTCAGAGGAGACCGCAAGTAGGTTGAGCAGCAATTCCGTGTGCGCGCGCGGCCGGGGCGCGAGTTGTGCAAGCCGGGGGAGGGGGCGCCGGGGCCGCGGCCCGCAGGGAGGGAGGGCGCGCGGGCGGGCGCGGCGCCGCGCGGGGAGGGCCGGGCTGGCCGCTGTCGCTGCGGCCGCTCGCCGCTTCCTCGCGGGGTCGGCCATGCCGGGTAGCGGCCCCCAGGTTTGTCCCTCGGGCGGCGGGGGCTGGGAGGGAGGCTGGCCGCGGCCGCGGAGCGGGGTGGGGGGGGCCGCCCTGAGGGAGCCGCGGGAGGAGGGGGAGGGTGGCGGGGCCGGGAGGCCGCGCCCGAGCGCTGGGCGGAGAGGCCGGCGGACCGGAGCGGCGGCGCAGGGCGAGCTCCAGGCCCCGGGCGGGTCGGGGGGCCCCCCGCCCCCGGAGGTCGAAGGAGGGGGGGCCGAGTGCCCGCGGCTCCCGGGGCTCGGGTGGGGCCGAGCGGAGAGCCCGGCTCGCCGTGGCCGCGGGCAGAGCCGTCCTCGCCGGGCTCTCGGGCTAGGGGAGGCCGGCGACCCGGGCCCCGCGGCCTAGGGCAGCGGTCCACTCCCGCCCGCCCCGGGGCACGGCCGCCGAAGATGGAGGCGAGCCCGGGCGCTCCGCACGGAAACGGACCCACAGCGCTGCTCCTGCGGCTCCGGACGCCGCGCGCTCGCGGGGTGAGGCGTCCTCCCGCACCTGGGATCCGGCCCCAGCCATTAGCCTTTCATTCCGACCCCCGCGGAGAGCCCTGCGGCGTCCCGGTCCCTCCCGCGCCCCTCACCCCGCAGCCTCGCGCGCCCTCCCGGTTCCACCTCGCGTTCGTGGTAGATGGGCTGCTGCTTCCCATGGTCAACCCCCCGCACGGACGTGTTCGGGGTCGAACTTGGAGGAGCGACCCCCGCTCTCCTTCCCCAAACTGCCCCTTCACCCCTTAAAGCCCTTCGGAAACAACCTTCGCTTCCAAGTGCTGATTACTCTGACTGGGAGGCTTGCCATTTGGGTAACCGTTAACAATACTGGTCTGTGCTCCGTGTTTGGTGATAAAGAGATGAAATACGAATCCAGATTTAGGGAAAGTTTTCCTATTGGTTGCAAGACTGTGCTGGAGTATCCCCAGGCCGGTGAGGCGCTTATTGATTCAGATTTTTTTTTTTTTAAACCATCTTCGAATAGTTACAGAGACGCTTGGAGCTGGTATATTTAGAAATTTGGTAAAGTTCATCAATTTACTCGTTTCCTTGTTTAGTTTTTCTAGAGCGTATCATAAACGGAGAGCAGTGGCTATGTCTCAAAACACTTTTGGGGCTTTTCCAGGAACCACAAGAAGTCAGCAATAGAGTGTACTACATATATGTATATAATTTGTGTGTGTGTGTGTGTGTGTGTGTGTGTGTATTTCATCTGTTTAGGTTGTAGAAGGTATGACTCCCATTTACTTAATCATATGTAAATGAATTTTAATAGCAGTTTCTTTAATTGGTGTCATCCAGTGTTCGGCTATAAACATAGCTTCACCAAATGTTTGTAAAATTATTTTACCATCTTACCTCCATTCACGTGTTTTCTTCTGATTTGGCATTCTTATTTTAAGTTACCCAAACCTGTCTATTTGAAGGTACCCTTAAATATCAGAATGATCTAGTAACCCTGTATCTATAATTCAAGATGGTTGAGTATTTTTAGTTTAAGGATGGGTTTTACTTTCAAAGTACGTTTAAGTTCTACCTCAAGCGTCTATTTGGTCATCACTGAAGTACTCAAACGTTACAAGCGAAGTAAAATGAACTTTTTAACAAAACAACAAAAAGGCCAGTATTTTTTAAACGGCATTTGATAATGAACATCTAATGAAACTAGTTTTATTATAAAGGAAAATATTGGAGAATAGGAAACAGAAACTTGGAATGTTTGTATGCTGATGGGAGTTTTTATTAGTCACTTCCTTTTACTACATACTTGTTTTAATTACAAGACTAATAAAAACATCCTATTTTCTGTCACTGGCTTCCCTAGAGCTATCTTCATGGATCACATTTGCCAAATTGGACCTTAGTGCTTCGTGGAAATTCTGTTTTTAAATTATTTTCCTCATTCTACAACTGGATTGCCTTGTTTTCATTCTAGCAGACTGGATGGTTTTTTACATTAATTTTAATTACTGTAACAGATAGAAAAGTGTTGCCATCATTTTATAACTCTTAGTACCATTTCTGTGCCCTTTTATATCTTCTTATACTCTTGTTGGGCTTTTCATTGTTTTTGTAGATAAATTTGGAAGAATTTTCTCCTGATTTGATAGCAGTGTTAAAGAAACGAATATAAGATAAGTAGGAGACCTTTTTTATCTTTTTAGTTAGAATGGGGGATTGTAAAGTAATCTCCTGTTGCTGCTCACTTGACACTGGTACACTTTTATTTCCTCAGCAGATAATTAATTTAGTATTGATCTAGGTGCTGCATAGAGCTCCTGACCTCTAAAAGAAGAGAGGTTATGAACAGATAGAACATAACGCTAGATGAAATATACTAAGTGGGACAAGCAAAGAATAAGAAATGCGGGGACTGTAGTAGGGAAGGCTGCATGCCAGGTCTGAAAGGTAAGATGCAAGCGGGTAGAGCTGGAGAGGAGTCATTTCCAAGTGAATAATGCTGTGAGTCAAGGAAAGCAGGGAGTGGGTGGGCCAGTGTGTCTGGAACATTAAGTAGGTGATAGAAGTAGTGAGGGACTGAAGTGGCAAAGATGGTTTCAGGATATAGCTTTTATTGGAAGGAGACATATTAAGTGAAAAGGTCAGGGCATCACCAACATGGATTAAATCAGGTTTCCAAATCCAAACTGAAGTAAAACCAAGTTAAAAATACTGAGATTCTGGGGTCTGATCTCAAATCTGCCAAACGCTGAGAAAACAAAAACAGATACTTGTGTTTTTAAGCACTAACAGTCCCTATGGACCTACAACCTAGAAAATCTCATGACTTCACAAAGCTAGGATTTTAAGATTCACCAAAAAACATGTTACAATTATTGCTGCTGTTTCACTAGTGGCAGTTCAGAGAAGTGAATTGAGAATATGATTTTGTACACTGTTTCATCCCAGAATATGTCTCCAGGAGCTCGAAAAAGAAAACTTTATAGGATACTTGAGCTATTTAAATGAGATAGCATGTGAAAAGTACACCGTCTGGCACATAGTAATTTTGATACTTGATGGCGTAAAGATGATTTTCAAATCTGTAATGTGGAGGTTATCAGTTCCCTGTCTTTGCTTCAGTTTTTGTAGCTGACACAATGATAGCTATTCTGTGCTGGACACCGAGATCCCAGGCACCATGCTTATGCACTGCTTTTGTTACCCTCGTTCTGTAGATGAGGAAGCCCAGACACAAGAGTTTAAGTAACTTTAAGTTCCACATCTAGAAAGTTGCAGAAGGGAGTTTGAACCTATGCTGTCTGACTTTAAAAACCATGCTCTTACCCCTTGGGCAGGTCTGCTGCCCTGTGATTCAGTTTTTACTCTGTTCCTTGAAAGTGTGTCCTTGGGTGTACCCATGTTGACACACATCGTTTGAAAATTAAGAGACGGGGGCATCTGGGTGGCTCAGTGGGTTAAAGCCTCTGCCTTCGGCTCAGGTCATGATTCCAGGGTCCTGGGATCGAGCCCCACATCAGGCTCTCTGCTCAGCGGGAAGCCTGCTTCCCTTCCTCTCTCTGCCTGCCTCTCTGTCTACTTGTAATACCTGTCTGTCAAATAAATAAAATCTTAAAAAAAAAAAATTAAGAGACACATGATAATTAGCATGATGGGTCTGGAAGATAAGAGATATGTTAACCTTTTCTCTATAAAGTACTCCAGTGACAGGACAACATGAAATCCTGTCTGGCCAAATTGTTTGAAGGCAAGGACCTTGTCTTTCCAGCAGGTTGCTTAGGTCCTTAAAAGATAAGCCCAAAGGCAGTTTTGGTCTGGTATGGCATATGTTAAACAGCAGTGTAGTTCCACCAAAGAGAGCATTTTTTTTTTTTTTGCGGGGGGGGGAGGGTGGATGGAAACCTCAAAGGTTTTTTATGAGTAGTGGTTTTTAGTGATTTTTCCAGCACTTATCTCTGATTGTAGTAATATAATGTACTTAATTGTGGAGAACTTGGAAAACAAAGAGAAATGTGAACAATTTTGAAAATCCCCGTAACCCCAAGATAACTAACAACATTTTGATGGGTTTCCCTCTTTGATTTTTCTATACATTGGCAAAGGATTGTTTCACTTGGCTTGCAATAGAAGATAATCCCCCGTAAAGGATAGTTTACATGGTTCTGTGTCACAACACTAATAGTAATTCTTAATGCTCCGTGAACTAGCCCACAAGCACATGTCTGAAAATAAAAAGTGTTCTTCCTTTAAGGTAATTATCAAATCCCTGAGGGTGGGTAGGGGAAAAGTAGAAAATCCCAGGTTGCCCTGTTTGCTTGGAACATTTTCTCCTATTCCGCTTTACCTTTTGCCTGGCCCATATCCCATAGTGGAGACCTCAGCTCAGGCCTCACTTAGTTTACTCTTGTACTTTTAAGATTTGTAACAGTAGATAACATTTAATTGTGCCAGTCATTGTTCTGGGTGCCACACATGAATTAATGCGTGTAATGCCTACCGCTGCCTCCTTCATGGGAGTGTGTGCATAGAAAGATAGACCTTTTTCTTGTATAATTAGAATGTTACTGTTTATAGAGCCTTGTATCCCCCCCCCTTTCTATCCCCAATTAGCATACACTAAGGATTTTCTCATGATATTAAAAATATTTCAGGACGTGACACCTGGGTGGCTCAGTTGGAGTGTCCAATTTTTTATTTCAGTTCAGATCATGATCTTACGGTCCTGAGATCAAGCTCTGGGTCCGGGTCTGCGCTCAACGGGGAGCCTGCTTGAGGAGTCTCTCCCTCTGCCCCTCCCCCTGCTCGTATCCTCTCGCTCTCAAATCTTTGAAAT